GCTATAGTGTTCACTTTTCATATGTTTTATAGTGTATTATATTCAGGCTGAGATCACACATTAGTGATTCAAATTTCAGCACAATCGGACTAAGCATGTGCGTGTAATATATTTTTTTCTATTTTTGGGAGGAGTTTTAGCGCCCCTGCTGGCCAACAGTGAAAAATTCGCCATGTCCATAATATAATTTTTTGCTCGTAATTATGCATAGAATGTAATTCCTAAATTTGGTGCAGATCTGATAATGTTGACTTTCATGTCTATGGTAGGGGGCGCTATAGTGTTTTTTCATATGTTTTATAGTGTATTATATTCAGACTGAGATCACACATCAGTGATTCAAATTTCAGCACGATCGGACTAAGTCTGTGCGAACAGGAGCAAATAATGTCACCTTGAAATTAGCCAAAATTTTGACTGAAATTTGCGGCTTTGCCGCACGTAAACCGTGACAGTTATCAAAAAAAATCAGCTAACTTTAGATGTTCCACTTGTCTAGATGATGTACGGTGATTTTCAGCCCTGTGGGTGAAGCACCTTCAGAGGAGTTCGTTCAAATGCAATGTGAACGAAAATGCGGACTGAAATTTCAATCCAAGATGGCCGCCTTCTGGTTTGTCAGGGGGCGTGGCCATAATAAAATTTTTTGTTTGTCTTGACATGACGAATGTGTGTACCGAATTTCGTGACTCTACGACAAAGTTGACGTCGGGACGTCTCCCATAGGCGCAATGTATTTTGACTTTTCGAGGTGGCGCTGTGTCGCCATTTTTTTATGCCCGTGCACGAAATCTATATTTTATCGAATTTTTCGCCACTTCTGAATTTTGGGCAAAGTTTGGTGAGTTTTTGAACGTGTTTAGGGGGTCAAATTAGGGTTTAAAGAGCATAATAAAAATAATAATAATAATAATAATTTTAGCAAAAACAATATATCCGAAAACATTAGAACAACATATTATACATTTTTTGAAAGCTCTCGACCTTCCCCACGTCACCGTGGGGTCATTGGTGAGTGACGGGCGCATCTGGACCATCTCGCTGGGGTCACAGTCTGACCTCCCATTGACTTCCATTCATTTTAGCAGTAGTAAATATGAGCCAGGCCTTGGGCGTGGGTTACTGGGATACTGCTGTTCGTGCCGGGGGCGACCGTGGACATAGTTGCATGTCGTCTTGTCGCATTCGGACATGCGCACGTCCCTTCCCATTTGCTCCGCTGAGCGGAAGCAATAGGCCCTACGCCCTGTCGGGGCTCGGGCCTAATAAAAATGGTGTCAAAAAAATTGTGAACTGAACCAAACAATTTATTTATTATGTCAAAATCTTGTCTTGTCTTGTTCAGTCTCGAATCTTGTCTTGTGGAAATGGCCTCATCACATACCTAGTCAGGTCTGATTTGAGCCATACTGACAGACTACGGGTAATGTATGTATGTTTGAATATAAATAGCTTTAAGTGAGAGTTACAGAAGAACCATATGGGTCAGAACGAGAGGACAGGTCACTGGGGATTACACTGTTGATGATGGAAACTCTATGTACTTACAGTAACGCTGTGAGGGAGCCCGTGTTTGTGAGGCTAATACACACGAGGGGACCTGGACACATGACACAGGCCTTGCACTTTGGATCGAGATAGCCAGTCCAAACTTCCTGGTTTGTGTTTGAGGAAATCTGGGGTATTAAAGGATTGGGGACTGATTCAGAGAAGGGCTGATTCAAATATTGAGGCACTATTTTCACATACTGAGAAACACTTAGAAACAGTGAAGCTATTCTCAACAACCATTAAAGCACATAAGCTTAAGATGCACAGTGTAACTTTTCTGGTAGGGGTGTGCCATGCATTTGTCTCCATGGAGATGTTATTGCTTTTACTGGAATGGTATGGCATTAAACATATCTCCACAGAGACAACTAGGGCTGCGTATCATTAAGAAGTTGCCGATACAATACATACCTCGATACATTGGCCACGATACGATACATATCTTGATACAGTGCACTTTCGATTCGATACAATACATTTCAAAATGATTCTATATGGTCCAATAAAAATAATGGCTGTGATACTAAAAGTTTTTGTTAAACCACTTCTTGTGCAAAGTTCATATGAAACAAACATTTTAACCATTAAAAGAGTGAAAATGTCAAATGTGTCACATAAACACATTTCCTTCCTCGGAACAAGCAACAAAACTGTAGTGCTGTAACAAAATAATTTTGTAAAATATATCTTAAAAATACTCTTGGTGATATATTGATACAGCAACCCATGATATTAATACTGTATCATCACATTAAATGATACGATATATTGATATTTCAATATGTTTGCACACCCCTAGTGTCCAGTCAGCTGATTTATACAGGTTGTGGCCACATTCTGGACAGGGACGGAGCAAACATCACTGGGACAGAGGAAAACAAACACTGTCGCTGGATTAAAGAGGCAATCGAAATAACGAGCCCATGGGACTATAAACCAGGACGAGGGTCGATACTGTATCATCACATTAAGAGATACGATATATTGATAATTTTGCACACCCCTAAAGACAGTCAGGCTAAGTTATAAGCCAGATCTTTGAAGAGGCCTGCTCACAGTGAAATTGCATGTTTTATCTGAGAAATAAGAACACCCGTAATTTAATAAATGCTATAGGTATGCATGAACATCTCCATGGAGACAAGCAGACATTGAAGGGGATAATAAGAAATATAATTTGGCATAGATAGCAATAAGAGAGCAGTAAGAAGCCCTTTAATGTAATTTTCTACCATCATTTATGACTACTTTGGAAACCTATATTCACTGTATAAAATAGGCCATTTCTTATTCAAGCTGAGTCATAATTTTTTGCTGTTGTATTTTCTTGTTCGTTTGGAAACTTCACTCATTAGAATAAGCTTCTTATATGATTAATAGCTATATAACATCTTGTGTGATCATTGACTTAATAGGCTAATGAATAATTATCTAGCACGTCCCTAATGTCTTGTCATTAATCAAGAACTGTAAGTGAAAATCTCCCACCAAACTAGAGTGAAAATGTCCGATCAGGTGTGGAGCAGAACAGAGGATAATACAGGTTAATAACAGCCAACAGAGCCTATAAACCAACCAAACGAGCCAGCAGCTGTAATGCACTTCGTCCCATTGATGTGTGTTCAATAATAGCCTTATCACAACGACTTCTCATCCTCAAAGGCGGCACTCACAGGTGGCGCATGTACGTAACAGCTCTCGTGACACACAACCTTCAAAATGAAAATATCATACGAGCCATTTACGCACTTTGCCTACACACCACGCACACACACACACAAACACACACAAACACACACTCTCACTCACTCAATCTCCCACCCACCCGCGGCACAGTCCCCACAGCGGGTAATGAGATCAGGGAATCACAGACGGGCCGCGCGCAGGACAAACACTGCGCGCAAAGAACGATAAAAAGAAAGAAAGAGCTACAGGCTACAGTCGGCCAAACCAGACAAGTTGACAGATGAAATGTTCCAGAAGTCTATACCATATAGTGACACGAAACATTTCAGCGCACAACCTTCCGTTTTGGATGAGGTTACTTTAGTAAACTTTAAATGCGAACAAAATCAGAGATTTTATTTTATTTTTTTCATTTATAACGATATAAATAATAACTTTTTCATTTCCTAGATACTTCCCAATTAGCACGTGTCCTTGAGAAACTTATTAAAAGCCCTCTCTATTTTCCATCTGTTTAATAAATAATGAGCCTGGACTCACGGGCAGGTCCACGTTGACGTCCGATCCGTCCAGCAGCAGCACGCGGCAAGTGATGGAGGTCCGCGCGCCTCCCGCCGCGGGGATGTGCACTGAAGCCCCCCCGGTCACCACCGCTGGCGCGTGGACAACCTGCTGCTGATGGGCCAGGAGCAGGGGGTTCCCGGTCACCCCTCCGCCCCCTCCTGCCCCGAGCTGCCCGTCCCGCTCGTCCCGCTCTCTCGTTTGGAATCGGCTCCGCGAGCGGCGGCTGAACGTCCGCCGCAGAAAGCCCATCATCTTCCTGGTCCAAGAGTCGTTCTCCCCACGCGAGGAGAGCCTCCTGAGAGCCAGAGACCGGTCCTCAGACCGGGGGTGACAGCGGCATACCAAGTGAACGTGTCCTGAATGTACACACAGCCACTACGAGAGCCCGGTGGGTTTAGCAGCTCCCTCCGTCTCCGTCCTGTCCCCGCTGCACCTGCTCCGGAGCTCGCTGTTGCACACCGACCCCTAGATCCTGAAAAAGTCCGTGGCTCCGCAGCGGGACCTCAGAATATACTGTACCCCCCGTGTGCTCGTGAGCGGCGGGGAAATCCACTCCGTGCCTCTGGACTGATGCGGGGCTTATTCCCAAGTCTCTCACCGCCGAACCGAAACTATAATCTACCTCACAGGTAAAAGTCAACCAGTGAAACTGGACAAACAGCCTGGTCTGCGCATGTGCGCTATACAGCGCAGAACAAACTTCTGCTCCTTCAACTGGACGAGTCGACAGCGTCAAACCAGCGCCATCTGTCTGCCACGCGCCCGCCTCACGGGACTGAGAGGATGACCCAAGTTACCAAGAACTGATGTGTCATTACACTGGTCAGAGCAGATATGTGTAGAGTTACATCTAAACTCAGTGGGTGTGTGGAGTGGGTCCGCTGAGTCAGAATGAAGATTTTACTCCACAAGTTTGTCCCGTCTAACTGTGCACATTTGGACCTAACGTCACAATATTACAGTGACAAAGCTGCAGAGACGATGTGATCTTGAGTGCTAAATTACATTTTGTCAGCTGCTAAGCTTCTACATCATCAGACAATTGGCTGAGGTGGTCTCACTGATATAGTTCCTGATTTAGAAGTGACTGAAGGTCAAAGAGCCCCATCAAAGACACAGTTCAAAAGACTGCAATGTTCACAGGTTCACACAAAGACAAAGTGCAGCATTAGATACATTCACACAAGAACACAATGAAATAAAAATCATAAAATCAGTGTTTATTGTGTTAATAATTTAAACTTGTTTACAGTGTGTGCTGCTCCTCTGAGCTTTATCTAACGTACCGATCAAAATCCTGTCACCACGGTTACTGTTGGCACGGCAGAGAAGAACCACATATCATCTTTGTTTTGCTCTGCCGCCAGGTTTGATGCAGCGACTGGGAGCCATCAGTCTAAGGCACGCTAATTCTCATAAGTGGAAGCATCGCTGAGTGGCCTCTCGCACAGAAATCAGCTCTCACAACAAGTCTTACACATCAGTCACTATGGAGACGACGGTCGTACCAGCTTCTTGCATGATCAGCAGAAACGAAAGGCCAACTAGGTGTATCATAGCGTGGTAATGTTGACGTTTCACCACAGCTGATCTCTTAGGACAGTTCTGCACTTATTATCATGCAGGCCGAGTACCGATCCTGGAGGGGGACTGCTTCAGTGGGAGTCAGCGTGTGCGTGACTAGAAGAAAATGCATGGTTTTTACGGTCTCTTGGTGATTAAGACTTTGGAGCAGAAGACCCCTCGTGTTTCTCCTTGTAGACACGCAAAATGGCCTCGCATACAAACTGGAATTGACACTGAAAGAAAAGAAGAAACATACAAAATATTACTAATGGGAGAGGTGTGGGATGTTAACATGCTAAAGGTCATATGAATAGATTAAGCTGAGATAGAGGGCAGGCCAAACGTGTTCAAGCCCTATTGGATTTTATGAATAATTAAACATTTCCCAAAATGTCAAATGTCCCAAATGTGCCCCTGATATGAAGAAAGCATTTTAAATAGAATAAAATATTGTCTTTATCTAATTATGGTTTCTACCTGCTTTACCTGGAATGTTACAATATGGCATTTAAAGTATCTATCATACATTTAGTCAGTTATGGGGGTTTCATTCCTTATAAGATATCTTGAAAAACATGAATTGTTACTGTGGGGGTCACTTTTTCACAGATCTGCTCTGTAACTTAGCTTAGTGGTGTCACCTGCTGGAAATTTCCATGGGAAAGCAATAGTATATCCAGGTCGTCACTGCAAGTGAGAAGGTGCTTTCAATTGATTTACCTGGTAAAATGTTGATTAAATAAATGAAAAAATCCATGGAGAGAAGCAAATGCCGAACTCTCCAACAGAAAAGTTACACAGTGCAGCTTTAAAACGGTAGTGCAGATCACTGAATAGATGCTTTTTTAATGATCTGATTCCTACATTTGATTATTTAAACATGTTTTGAAACAGGCTTTAGTTGTTTTTTCTGTTTTCTCTCAACCTACAGATGCACAATCTGCTTAAGTATCTACAGAATAAATAATTGTGTTGATTATAATGGCAAAAAGCGGAGGTATAATTCAGTGACATTGGTCTGATTGCAGTCACTAAGAATATAAAATCACAAAACCCATTGCGGGCTAAATCATAATAATAATAAATCAGAATGTAGATTTCAGATATCTCCGGACATCGTCAGGCTGTAAAACGTGATCTAAACCTTTTGTAACTGTTTGACATTGACTCTGACTCATTACAGTAAAGCCTGTCCCGGCTCTGAGCAGGTTTCCATTGCAAACAGATGGAGGAAACATGAGAACTGTTCCATCAGCAAAAAAACTGGTTTCATGAGGGGCCTATCACATTTCATAATATGGGCAATAGTGGCAAGAAAATCATGTTTAAAATGTTCTCTATTCATAGTTAGCTACAGATCTTGTAATGACATTTGTATTAATATCTGATGAGGGGACAGTAGCTCAGTTGGAGCATTTGTCCACTGATCCAAAGGTTGGTCACTCTCGACGTAAACATCACTGGTTGGCTAGTGTGAATGTTGTGTCCTTGGGCAAGACACTTAACCCACCTCACCCCTAGTGTCTGCGTACACTGGTGTACAAATGTGTGTGTGAATGGGTGAATGGATTGTTATTGTTGTAAGATGTTTTGAGTGCCTTGAAGGTGGAAAAGCATTATATAAAAATGTAAACATTCACCATTTAATGTTGAGTTGCTTAGTTTAGTTAAGGGTGTACTATGTAACTTTTCTGGTGGGGTGATTTGCCAGTTCCTTGTCTTCATGGGGATGTTAATACTTTACTTTAAATGTTCCACAATAAATGTATCTATCTTGAATGTATTCAATTACAGATGTTTTATTGCTAAAATGGAGATAGATAAAAAAAATTTTTGACACAATGTGGAACGTAGGAATAATATGGAGACAGGCAGGTGGTGGGAACGTTACACCAGAAAAGTTACGTAGTGCATTTTTAAGTTATATTTTGAATAATAGTTGCAGCATAATAAATAAGGACAGCTCCACTCCTTAAGCATACTTGTGCTAAAAATCATTATTAACTGTTCGTACCGTGGTCTGAACCATCATGGCTCGCTGGTCCCTCAGAGTTTTCACAATCTCCAATGGAAACACTGGACGACCCTGATCCAAGAGCGCCAGACCCGTTTCCATGGTGATTAGCACACCTGTCCGTCCAATCCCAGCGCTGCAGCAAATCAAAAGCAAACAAATCATTCTTCAACAATACAGGCACCTCTAAGCCGGCTCTCAACAGACTGATGTGTGCAGCCCCCTGAACAGAGTTGTACACATCACTCTGAGTTGGCTCTTGCTGAAAGTGATTGGAACCAATAATCGAAGTATTCAAACAAATACTACATGTTGTTGTTCGAAGAGTCACAACAGCAAAACAAAAAATCAAACTTTAGTCAAGTCCACTTGAAAGAAAAGAACATTAGTTTTATCTGTCCACAAATGGAAAAAGCACCTCCCTCTGCCTCCCTTTTTAAAAAACAAAATCATCTGTATTTCTGCTGAAATAGGCTGAAGTGCCTCTGTCGGTGTCGCCATGTTTGTTTTGGTTTGTTTAGCGCTGGGCTCTGCACAAACCACAGTGCTGTCCAGTGATTGGTCAGTTTCCAATCACTTGCAATCGACTGTGTCTTGCAAGAATTCATCTTGCTGGCAAGGCTAAGGCATTTCACTCTGGCTTTTTATATGTGTTTGGGTCTAATATAGGCACTCCTGCCTAAGAGCAAGAAGGTCCCGAGTTCAATTCCTGGACTGGCTGGGGCCTGTCTATGTTGACTTTGCATGTTCTCCCAGTGACGGCTTTGGTTTACAAAATAAATACTGGGTTAAATTAATATCATTCCCTTCACACCAGAAACTCTGACTCACTACAGTCATCGAAAACACTGTTAAAAACTCACTTGTTCCACATTTCATACAATCTCCAATAATGTTATTTTTAGTGAATTTTGCTGTAGTCTTGTGTCATTTTCTTACCTACGTAAAGAATCTATGAGTTTCTTTTGAAAAGCTTATTAATTATTATTGTTACTAAATTAAGAAACAAAAACAGGTTAAACACACTTGTTCTGTTGAAAATTCATGTATTTTAAAAAGGGGTTGCTGTGCTTCCTCTGGGAAAAGACAAACAATGATGAATGAGGAAGTTCATCCAGAAGCTGTCAAATAAATTTAAACAAAAGACTGCAGTTGAATTTGTACCATTTCTATAGAAATTGAAGTGGGCACATAGGGGCTGCTGGGTAATAGGTTGAGTGCCCACAGAAGTGCTAAGAACTAAGATTCACACCTTATGTAACATCTTATTTTATCATAGTTTATACTTCCATGTAATCCCTCCTTACCCCAACTCTCTGGAACTTCACGTCAGAAACTCGGACTCAATAAACACGTTCAAAAAACAGTTCAAAACTCAACTTTTCCTCAAAGTCTGTAACTTCCAGAAATGACTGCTTCCTCGCTACTCATTTTTGTTTATCCTCTCCTTTTGTTATGCTAAACTACTATAAAGTGTCTTTGAGTTACCGTGAAAAGTGCAATATAAAATGTATGTATGCATTATTATTTTTACAGCCTCATGGGAATATAATCATATTTATTGTAAAAGATGAAAGACACACGTGCCAGTGTTTGGGTTACCTGCAATGAACCATGAGTGGCTCATCCCCTTTCCTCCTCTCCCTCACTGAGCTGACAAAGAGCAGGAAGTCCGAGGGGTCGTCAGGAACGCCATGGTCCGGCCAGGCCACGTACTGCAGATGTGTGACTGCCCGCTCCTCTCCCAGCTGGGACAAACACAGGTGCCCAACAGTGAAATATAGTGTAACATTAAAGGTCTCATGATATGAAAAATCCACAATATTAAAGAGTAGGTTAGTCTAGTCATGTCACTAAAACACAGTGAACATAATTATATTTAAGCTTTATCTAAAAATGTGCCTAGATTTTAGACAAAACCTAAACTGTAGTTATCTATTTTCTAGAATTTCATACACCTTAAGTGGACTTGCTCTGACCTGATCCAAAATATCCCTGGCCAACTTCAGCTTCATCAGGCTAATGTTTTTTAGCCTTTATTCCTTCTGTTGCAAATGGATGGCACAAGACCTATTCAAGATATCTTCTGTTTTCTATAATCAGATTTGTTTACTATACAATTTCCCCACATACATTATTTTAAGACATGAAATACAAATGCAAAGCTGTCGGAGTATTTTTTTTAAAGCCAGGGAAAATGATAATGTGAAAATGGTAACACACAGGTGGAGGTAGAAGGAAACACCGGTGAAAGAAGTGCTGACTCTGGCCTTTCAAATAGGCTCTTTGCCTGTGGGTCCACACAGGTCTAAGTCTTTGCCAGAGGAACAGATGGGCCAGCGCAGCAGTATCTGTGCTTGTGTGTTTGTGAACTCATGCTTCCCTGATCACTGGACATTTACCCAGGTCTAGTGAAGCCAATCTGACAAATATATGGCTGTGTTTAAAACTGCCCTCATCAAAACCGAACTGGACTAAACTGGAATTACATTGACTAAACCAGGACTAAACCAGGACAAGTGTGACACAGTCTATTGGAGGTTTTCAGACTGTGATTATGTCAGACTCCCAGATGGGGGACAAGAGACAGATTTCCCTATTGTTACCACTTGTACTATGCTATGAAATATCCAAAAGATAAATTCACAAATGTTAAACCTGATCATTTCTATTAGTGACTAGACCAGGGGTGGGCAAACTACAGCTTGGACTTGAATAATAATCATTTTCAGTGTTTAAAAGTCATTTCAATAAATAGTAAATACCGTGGGACTTTGATATTTTGTTGTAATGCTTTGTAATTATTTTCAATTATGGGATAATTCAATAACATGGGATATATTTTCTACATATCCCATGTTATTTTTTTCTCTTATGAGGTGGATTAACAAAAAAACTCCATCTGCTCCTGGTCAGGCCCTTCTGTCAAATTTTAGAACCCTTTGTGACCCACGAGTCAAAAAGTTTGCCCACCCCTGGACTAGACCCAAGAACTTGCTGTACTGCAACAAAAAATTTAGTCACTCCATCTGTATTAAATCTATATCTCTAATATACTTTGACTTATAGAATGTTGCCACAGCCCATAGACAATTATTTTAGCTAAGATGTCAACACTTTTGACACCAGATGCCCTCCTGATTACAATTCGCCACTAGACTAGAACCTGCAGTGAGTTTGTCTCTGTAACATATGGTACAAATAATCAGCCTGTGCTCACACACTGGTTTCCTTTGGAACCTTAAAGAAGACATATTGTGCTTGTGTCTGCTATGTGGTTACAATCTATGACTCCCGTGGAGCTTTATTCTATATTTTATACATTTTCAATCACAATATTGATCCAAAAGAAACAGTCCACTGATTTTAAGTTGAAAACTGTGGCGCTGCATTACAACACAATTAACAGCTCCTGAAAGTCATTTTGCGTAAGTCTCCATTAATACTTATTTGTAGGGATGTAACAACAGTGTTGGGAAGGTTACTTTTAAAATGTATTCCCCTACAGTTTACAGATAACAGACCCCAAAATGTAGTTTGTAACGTAATCCATTAAGTTACTTAAGGTGAGTAATGTAATCTCAGTACTTTGGAATACTTGATATTGTCATGTTTTTCAAAACTACATGAACGTAGTAAACACATCCTGAAAATTCTTGTTTGTTCTCTTCAAATTGGATGTTGTGCCCAAGTCTCCATGAACAGGTTTGCTGTAGATGTTTTATCTGCTAAAAGACAATAAAAAGCCCAGTCTTTACTTAAAATATAAAATATTAAAAATATTATTGATAGAGAAATGCTTTATATATGAGATCACTGCTGCCTTCAATTATTATTATCTACTGTTACGTGTCATATTGTTTAGACCTGGTTTAGTCCTGGTTTAGTCCTGGTTTAGTCCTGGTTTAGTCCTGGTTTAGTCCTGGTTTTAGTCCTGGTTTTAGTCCTAGTTTAGTCCTGGTTTTAGACCTGGTTTAGTCCTATCTTAGACCTGGTTTAGACCTGGTTTAGTTCTGTTTTAGTCCTGGTTTATTCCTGGTTTTAGTCCTGGTTTTAGTCCTGGTTTAGCCCAAAATGTGAAAACAGGAACATAGCACCATGTAATCCATTTATTTCAATGTAACCGAATACAGTTGCTCATAATTTGTACTCTGATTACGTAATGTTGGTACATGTAATCCGTTATTCCCAACACTGTGTAACAATAACTGAAATATTGTGATATAATTTCGTCAAAAGCCTAAAAATCATATCTCTGGCTGTCACGATATATCGAATCACATGTTCCTTTACTTAACTGCATGGTTTTATAGTAGCAAAAGCTTATGGAAATAGGGAACTACATATCCCATAATTTATTTCAGTGCAGACAACATGAAGAGACATGTTTTTAATTTGAATTCTTGGGATTATGGCAGTAATAATCGACACCAAAATCTTGTCATGGTATTTTAAAAGCAGAAACGTGTCCCATCTACAATTATGTTAGCTTCTCCAAAATATCGCAATAAATATCGTACCGTGAGATGCATATTGTGATAATATCGTACCAAGTTTTTTGTATATCCTTACATCCCTACTTATTTGTACTTAATTTACTGTACATATTGAAATAACACATCAGACATTTAATGAATGTATCTGATCCTGGCTTTCTCTAGTTTATGTTTAAAATCTGAACTGAGATAATATAGTTGTGTATTTCCTGATAAAAAAGTAGTTTTGTCTAGCATGACAAACCCATAAACAATGTTCTCTCTGAGTTAAAAGGCAGAGTGCATTTAACATCACTGTATGAACTGTACAGGACGCACTGAGAACAGAGAGTAACCGGAGCCTGTGGCGAGGTCTGCTCTGTGACACATGGGACAGCCTGTGTATTCTGTTCAAGTACTAATATATTTTACACTACAAAATATCTATAATTCTAATTTATTGCATATTGTATGTGTGATTTAACTGAAAACTACAGTGGAGCGGCTTTTTAAAGTACATAAACATTAAATTCTGATACTGATGGACTTAAACATCAACAGCTTCTTAATCACTCTCTTATCTTATTCCTGTATTTAATAACAACATCACATATGTAGATCATAATTTTAGAGATGCCACATTTTCACAGTACCATTTCACTGTAGCAAGCAGCTGTTTTTCATTTTGTGTTTTTATTTCTGAGAACCGGCTATTAAACATTTTTTCAAAGAACTGCAAAGTACAGAGTCAAAGCCAGATATCAGCAAAAGGTGCCAACAGAAATTTTCAGAGCACTCTATTCACAAATGCGGACAATACTGGATGAACGAAACATGCATGAATCACTCAAAACACAACTCTGAGTAAGCAAATGATGATTAGAAAACATTTAAACATGATTAAAAACTTAAAAAATAACCTCAATTTAGGCTGATTTGTCAATTTAATCTTTTTTAGTATTTTTATCTGCACATAAAGTATCTGTATTCTCTGTATTACTGTACAGTGTGTAAAATGTATTAGTTGATTTTAAATGTATTATATTTGCACAAACGCTCTGTGTGCCTTTAACTCGCCCCTTGGGAGATGAATAAAGCCATCCTCCCACAACCACATTTCACCTTGAGGAATGAGCTCTTTTCACGCTTACATTACAAACCAGGAAGACGTTTGGTAACATGCCATAACAACTTACGGTGTAGTTCCTGATTGTGATAAAACCCAGTGACGTAAGTGTTTGGAATCATCTTCAATTTGGCGCCCTCACCTTTTCTAATCGCATAAACCCAGTGCGCTCTGAGTGTGTCAGTGGGGAAATGATAAAAACTGAGGTATGGTTCCAATTGTTGATTAACTGAACATAAGAGAATGCTACAATGTCATGTAGGTGAAGAAAACTGGGCCATTTTCTAATTTTTCCTAGATTTTGTCAAATTTAAGCCCCGTTTACACATACACAGGTATTTTCAAAAAGTGAGACATTTATGGTTTCGTGAGATATACGGACTTTTAGGCAGCTGATGCGCCGAAAGTGCGACCAATGTTTACCTTTTGCTCTGATGATGATCATGGAAGCATTCAGAGCAGCAGTTGCATTTCTTCTGGTGCAAACACTTTTCATGTGTTTGCATTTGCACACACAGCTGATGTATCATATCCATGACCAGAGACGAATGATGCTCGGAGGTCAGCAATTTTGCCACTTCTTAAACATATTTGTGAAGAATCAACCCCGCTCAGTAATGCACATTTCAAGGTATTTTTGAGTAATATTTACAACTGTAATGAAATAAATGCTACAGGTTTGAATCTAATCCAGGTGCCGCCCACAGGCTTAGCGTAGTTATGATGGAGCTCAATGGTGTATTTACGCGGGTTGATGTAAACGAAAACTTTTTTGAAAACAATGCTATTTTGGAAAACGGAGGGAGGAAATATTAGTCTCTCAACATACCTGGATATGTGTAAACGTAGCCTTACTACTGCAAACAGAGCCTGTTGGAAGTTGTTATTGCATACAGTATTTCCAAATACAAGCGTGACTAGAGCCTATAAAGAAAAGAGCGAGGGGGAGGATGGGCGGGGTCTGGAGGTATAAGCAACACTGTGATTGGTCTGTGTATCCAGACTTCAAACTCCACCCCTGTAGCCTGGTGTTTGCAATCAGAAACACCTGGCTGTAAACAGGGCAGTCTTTTGTGATGTCACCAACTACTGGAAATTGCAGAGGCCACTGAGCAGATTTAGATTTAAAAGTTTTTGAAAGCTGCACATTAACCTAGATTGGGCTGAAGCTGCTAAAAATGAACAGTAGATAATGGTATTTAAAAAATGAACAAGTGGATTTAGTGTTTAGTTCCACTTTAATTAAAAATATACTACTCAACTTGATGATTTCTACTGTACCTTAGTGTCTGTGAGGGTGAACTGTCTGGTCACATATGCCAGGTTACACTCCTCCGAATGGCATTTCACCTGCATGTGCCCATAGCTCTTCACTTGAGGAGGGTGAGGCCAGTATTGGTGGCACTTCGTCTGCAGAAAAAACATACTGTGACTAAAATTACATTGATCCTTGTGAGTCATCATTAGTTTTCTACAGCTGCGGTCTCATCTCGCTCTGTTGATGTTTTTCAGTGTCTCTGCAAAATGAGGTGCAAAAGCAATCAGCAAAAGCAAGGACAATGATTGACAGTTTTTGCATCTGACCCTTTGGAGGAAAGAAGGCCTGGACAAATATCAGAAAGGGATCAATTAATTTGTCTCTCTGGTTGCTTAGGAACAGTAAAGCTTAGGCAGAGACGACTTCATTTAACGGGACCTTGATGACTCCCGGTGAGCATTTATCTTTTGTGGTAAATGTGGCATTCAGAACCTGCTTTAACCTGGTTTGTTATTAGCAAAAAAGTGCATGATGAATATGAAGCATCAGCCAACAACTGACACACTATACAACTTTTGTCACCTGCTTGCCTCCATGGAAAGGCAATGTTTGCTTGGCATGTTCAACAGAATGGTATTAAACTTATATATCTCCATGGAGACAATGAAGTATCACCACTAGACCAAGTTACAGGTCAGATCTCTGGACAGTTGAGCTGTTGTTTTTCTAGGTTTAAGGTCATACTTTAAAGATTCCAGTGGAAGTAATAACATCTTCATGGAGATAAGCAGGTGGCCACCAGAAAAGTTAAACAGCACACCTCAAAAGACCCAATACTATAAACAGACTCTGATTGGGCTTGCCTCTCCACAGACCTGGCTTGTAGCTTGGCCTCGAAAGATCACGTGTTTTTCCAAGGTATTTTTCAAAAATTAAAACACCTGTATTTGAAACAATGTCTCTAGACTACTGTATTTTTCAGACTATAAGTTGCACTTTTTTCATGGTTTGGATGGTCCTGTGACTTATACTCCGGTGCGACTTATATACTAAAATTTTCACACTGACAGCTGCGAAAGGGCGCTCTAGGCTTGTGTCAGTATCTGCTACTCCTATTACTCCTGTACCACTGTCACTTTATGCTCTACTGCGCATGTCTCCAGGAGAAAGAGCCGCTGTCCTGCTGCAAGTAGCGAAATATGAAGCCAAAAACTGCAACAGAGCAGCAGAAAGAAAGTTTGGAGTGAGTGAGAAACTTGTAACAATCGGGAGGGTGTGCCATGCAACTTCCTGGAAGTCACTGGATGGTTTAGATTTGATAAAATTTTATGATTTTGATCCCAAATAGTGCGACTTATAGTCCGGTGCGTCTTATATATGTTTTTTTCTTCTTCATTACGCATTTTTGGGCTGGATCGACTTATACTCCGGATGGATTTATAGTCCAAAAAATACAGTATTTATTAGCTAAAATGTTACACAGCCGGACTTTAAGCCAATGTAAAACAATAGATAACACATAAATAGTATGGATGAGTGTGTACCCGTCCCCTCTCTGTCAGAGTGGTTAGCATGATGACGGTGTGTGCCTTCTGCTCCCAAACGCTTTGCCAAAAGTGAGAGCAGGTCTGAGGCAGCGGTCCCTGAGCAGCCACATAACGTAAACAAACACCAGACATAGGGGGCGCCACCTACAAAAACACACATTCAAAAGATGCGCTCACAGAGACACAAATGCACAAATGAAGAGGAGCACTGAATGTCATGAGTAAGCCGGTGTCACAATCACACTTTTCTGATAGATTATTGCAGAAAATATTGTGATTAACAACTCAACTCATGACTTATAAACTGCAGTGGGGAGTGAGTAAGCTGAAATTTTATTTTTTTGGTAAACTATTTATAAGTAAAAAGGCAAATTAAACTCATGAGTCACGAGTTTAATAAATCTTCATCTAAATATATTGTTTCCTAGTACAAACTTCTGCATAAAGTCATTTGAGTGCAGTCAACTAATCAATCAGCAAGACATGTCTCTAGTCAACCAGTAATTTCTTAATAAAGGTTAAAATGATAAATATTAAGCCAAAAAGTATATTTTCCTGTATTGAAAGTTAAACTAAAGTAACTATTGGAACGGGCCTAGTCATACGTACAGTGTCACAGATACTCACTGTTATGTGGCTGGCATTAATGTAATCTTCTTGGCCTTGAAGAACAACTCTTGAATCATCATCTGTAAAAGATCAGGGCACCAGCAGGGGGCTTTAGTGAGCGTGTCACTGCACCACAGGCTCAACAGTAAATTAACTTTAGTTGTGACTCTTATGAAGTCATACATGAGAGGATGGGAAGGTGACAGTGTGCATCTATATTGATAAAGGACATTGATAAAGGACACGACAGGGTTAGAATACAAAGGTTTACCGAGAGGGTATTGTATTGATATCCTTATGCATTTTTTTTTAACGCAATAACAATAATCACACAAGATTTTTACCATCCATCAAAAAATGTACCAGTGAAAGTATGGAAGCATTTACGAACAATACAATTAACCACAAAAGTGTAAAATATTACCTAAAAGCTTTGTTTGGAAGACGTCATCTGCTAATTCTTTTTGACCAGCACTTTTTACAGCTTTTTGTCAATATACACTGCCGGTCAAAAGTTTCAGAACACCACACTTTTTCCATTTTTTTACTGTTTACTGTTGACCAAAACATATTCTAAACTTTTGATTCATCAAAGTAGCCAGCTTTGGCAGAAATATTTGATTTCTACAATAAATATCAAATATTCTTCAGAAAGTTCTTCCCAGGTCTGTTGCAGAAGTTCCCGTAAATGTGTGGCACTTGTAGGTTACTTGGCTTTCACTCTTCTGTCCCGTTCATACAAAACCAGCTCAGTGGGGTTTAAGTCTGGAGACTGTGCTGGTCACTCCATGTTTTCAAGCTTTTCAAACATTCCATCTTGTTCTTTTTTCCTGAGGTAGTTTTGACAGAGCTTGGACTTGTGTTTTGTATCTTTTATCTTTTTTTTTAACCTCTCGCTATTCAGTTCTTGCCTTTGTACCATTTCAAGCTATTCATTGGACTTGCACGACCTGAATTGCAATAAATAACTGAAAAAATTAGGATGTTCTAAAACTTTTGACCAGTAGTGTATGTTGACAATAGATATGGGAAGATGTAAAAAAAATATATAATACAGCAACTGTTTTGAAGATTTGCAAAGAATATATAAAACAAGGGTATGAAGTTATATTTCTGTACATTTGTGGTTAATTTTATGGTCTATTCAGTTTGTGCTCAACTTCAATCTTAACCAAGACATTTCCAGACACATTTTAACACATTCCTGATGCATTGTTAAAATATTTTCTGAAAACTGTTAATGAGTTAAAAAAAAAAAAAAAAAAGAGGTGTGTTACATTTCAATTACATTTACTGAGTTACATTTACTTGGGTTACTTTATAAAGAAACAATTTTTCACAGTACATTTCTGGCAACTTACTTACTCCTACTTGAGTAATATTGTTATTGAAGTAACAGCACTCTGACTTTACGTTTATTTATTTTTTTACTCTTCCTTAAGTCATTTCTTGGACCACTACTTTGTAATTCTATTTGAGTAATATTATTTTAACATTACTACATTTTTGGCTACTCTACCCAGCACTGATGTAAACAACATACTGCCCCCTCTGTTAAACATAAAGACTTACATGGTAAAACGTCTCTGTAACGATTCTTTTCCATGTTTTCTGAAAGCCGGGCGCAGCTTAGCGACAGACCAGGCTTCCTCTTGTATAAATTCTACAGAAAAGAGAAAAGTAACCAAAATACCATTTAAATGACTCATACTTCGATGACTAGGGTCTGAGTCAACAGTTCATCAATGTCTGTTTGAATATAGCACATGATTCCTCTTCTTCTTTTTTAGTTTAGCTGCTCAGAGGTTGTTCAAGGAAATCACTTACCCCATGTGACCCTCTCCTCTGCACCCAATTTTCCCAAACTTCAAGTCTACTTTCACTAAATCGATCAATCTTTTCTTTGGTCTTTGTGAAAACCTCTTCCTTCTCGGCAACTCTAACCTCAGCCTCCTTTTTCCAATGAATGCACTCCTCTTTAACTCTTAAATGACCAACATGGACTGGCCCTGTAAAGTATTCATTCCTTAATGTTTTTGATTGCATCAATTTGATTTCAATTCAGTAACGATTAATCTTGCAGCCCTGTTAGAAAGTTTGTAATTAGCAAATCACAAAAACTGCAGCTTTTTGAAGTACCATTTCACCACAAACAACAAAATATCCTGTCTTACTCTGCAAACAACTTCTCTACAAACATGTTCTGAAATGTGATTCTTGTATTAGTTTGTCAGTTCGTAATTCAGTTTTTTGTCAATTCGGGAGGACATGTTTTACATGTGAACTTTGAAAGGAATCCTTTTATTAATAAATAAATAGCAAATCTAATTAGATGGTACAATTAGATATTTATCACCAAATTCCTCAGCCCTACTTTCTAACATTGCCAATCTCACCAATGTTACAGCTGCATCGTTCACCTTCTCGCTGAAACTCAATTACACAACTAAATGTAAACTATTAAAGGTGATGCATGTGATTCTGCTGGTTTAAAGGACTCATATTATGCTATTTTCTGATTTATGTTATAATGTTGTTTCCTCATCAAACACATAAAACCCATATTTTGTTCTTTACTCAAACAGAAAACACTCAGTTCCACTTTGAAATGTCATGAGGTAAGACAAGAAGTGCTCCGCTGTGTTTTAAACTCAATGATAGACCTTCACTAGAATTATTTGGAAAATTTCAGTCCTGGAATTGCCAATCTCTGCTGAACTAAAGGTAAAAAGTAGCTGTTAAATACCACTACATGACATCACAAGGTGGAACTGTAGACATATGAATCTTAAAGGATTACTCAAACATGTGTGAATGAAACAAAACACAACTCTGGGTATGTTTCTGAAAAGCTAGCATTCTATCATGGCTTAAAGCTCACAAGAGTCAATTTTGCGTAATATAGGGCGTTTAAATGCAGTCATACAATTAAATCAGAATCTATAATGCCATGATGTTTCATAGGACACATCAAATCAGAGAAAGAGTTTGTGTTTATGTTAACTGGTTTTAGTTGTACCATCTGCAACTCAAAGTGAGCTGTTCATTTTACTGTCTAATTGGAAAATTGGCTTGAGAACCATAACACTGTTTATGTAGTTGAGAAAACACTTAAATTATAATCTAATTACATTTCTATTAGAGGCACAGTTGTAATGTAATGTTTATGAAATGTTTACGGTTCCTACCTTTAAAATGACCTTTATGTAGTATACAGTATTTTTGTGGGAGGGTGTGCACCTGTTGTCTCTATGAATCTGTTACTGCTTTGCCTCGAAAGTTTCATAATATTAGGTATTAAACTTATCTCCATGGAAACACGCAGGCCAAATTACAAGGCAAATATATGACTCAGATACTCTGATATTGCATGTTTGTCAAGAAAAAAATGTTAAATCAGGATAAACAAGATAAATACTAAAAACATTCAAGGCAAAGATATATCTCCATGGAGACAAGCAAAAGGTGGACCCCCACCCCCCATCCCCCTTTCTGACAGAAAAGGTACATAGCAGACCTTTAAACTCCCACTCAAAGAGATATCGCCACAAGTACAATCTAGTGAGATGCTTATATGTGTCACTTATATCTTTGCATATTAAATACCTCAAAGTGGAAGCAGAGGGTGCCAGACTGAATCCCTTTCTCCAGCTGTCTCATGGACTCCTCCAGTGTGGTGACCGGCTCTGACTGGACAGGGGAGGGGGCCTTGTCCCCCTGTGAATGTCCCGTTAGAATGAGGGTGGGGGGCTGCAGCTGGGGGAGTGTACGAGTGGCTCCTAAAATACAAGCACAAAAAACACAGAATAAGTGTACAGAAAATAAAAGATGCTCAAACACAATTTTGAATGTTGTCAGATGAAACAAAATTGGGGGCCCCAATCCTGAACAAAAATATTCAGTATGGATGGATTGGACAATGTGGAGTTAATACAGTCAATATAGGTCTCTGTTCAGGACATCAAATGCTAGAATATTGTGAACTTATTAAGATGTAGGCTTCAAATCAATATAACTGCAGTATTAATACTCCCTATCTTTGTCCAGTAGTGGTTCATAGTAGAAAAGTTTTCAATGGTTTCAAAATATCCATAAAATGTCCATCATCATAAGAATTGTGAGTAGCCAACAATCAAAATCATAGTACTAGTTGTATTTTCATAATAGCAATCTTTATCTGTACTATTTTACATCAAAATATCAAAGTAGGATATCATATTCTCTATATAGAAGCTTTCAGTTACCGTATTTTAATCCTTGTTTGGTTAAAAATTTATTTTAAAAAACAATACCATTAACCAATTGCTTGTTACAGCTCTGTCCAGATGACTACCATTTTTTCCACCCCATATGTTGCTCACCTTTCCGTTTGACGAGCAGAGCCAGCTCTCTGGAGTGTGACTCTCTGCTGGCTCTGATGAACATGACCACCTGGTCGTGGGTGTGTTCAGAGATGTCCCGACCATTTATGAGGACCACCAGATCCCCTTCAAGAAGTTTGGGCTCACACTTCCCTGCCTGTAACCCAGAGAATGTATAGATTAGAAATATTCATATTATCTTCTTAGTACAATGTATGACTGTAGTCAAAGATAAGATAAAATTGTATAACATCATCCCAAGCCTATTTGTCAGATGAAGATGTTTCATTATGGTCATACATGAAGCCTAATGTGTTGAAAAAACTCATTATCTTACAGGAGAGTCTGGCTTCACATGAGAAATGGCAAGGGGCATCTTCTGGTCCACTCCACCCTGCAAGGCAATGTATTTTGTTATTATTTTTCCATAATATCACAAAAATAGTAATCGTCATGAATATATTTTGTGTTTTTGTGAAGCTGATGGTTGTTTAGGTGTATGATTATTTTCTAGACACTCATAGTCTGTTTACATTGCATTATTCATTCACTCCACACCAGTTGATTGTAGGCACAGTTGCCCTGGGGTAGACTGATGGAAGCGAGGCTGCCAATTTGCACCACCAGCTTCTTCAACCACCACCACCATTTCACTCACAAACACCACATTCCTACATCACCAAGATGGGTTAAGTGTCTTGCCCAAGAACACATGACAAATGGGACACTGGAGTGTTTGAATCAACATTACTACATGAGACATAAATACAGATTTACTTACTTTAACATTGAAACCAAACTTTCCCTCGTGATCTGGAGTTATTCTTAACAGTAGCAGGTCTCCATCGCCCGGAGCATTCTGGATAATTATTCACAGTTAAAAACAAGGACACAAACAAAGCCACAAAGCTGTAGTGACACTTACGTTATTGTTGTGGTTTAAGCTGTGATCACCATCCTCCTCTCCAATGCTGTCGTCGTTCAAAGATTCATTTTGTCTAAATGTAATAATAGTATTTTTCTCAGTTTCAACGTAAATGTCCATTATCATTTAGAGGCAGTCATGTTGGATAAAGCGTCTTGATCAGGGAAACAAAAACTAGGGTGAAATTTGTCAACAACTCCACCAGCAATTAAATTATTATTTTTTATAACCCAAATAAAACCATATGAAATGTAATAACAAGAGATAAATATGAAACGTAAACAGTGCAGTTTAGCAGTGTGGATAAACATAATACTCAACATCTAATACCGAACTGTTCAATATAACCCTAATATCTCCCTAATGGCCTAACTGTGGTAGATTTAGACAAGAAAAGATAGTGTAATTGAATAAAATGTTAGGTTGAATTGTCAAAAAATAATAGAGGAAGCATTTGTTTCAGTGTACACTGAAATCATACTGATATTGTGACTTGAGAGGTCATCTAAATATGGGAGTTCATGCAAAAACAACTATTTATGCAGAAAAAGTACTAGGAAACAATATATTTATATAAAGACAGATTAAACTAGTGAATCATAAGTTTAATCTGCCTTTTTACATATAAATACCTAAAAATACCAAATCAGCTAACTCAGTCACTAACTTCTCCTTTCTATTTTTGTCCCAAATAAATCTTTATAATCTAAATAAAAATTTTGGTTGATTAAGACACCATATACTCACAGATGTGTAGACCCGTCCCCTTCGCTGTCTCTGCTGCTTACGGACGCTCTGTACGTGTAAAAAACATCCTCTCCCTCGGACATCTCCTTCAGATCACCGGACAACTCCACAGACGAGGGCCGTGGTTTGGACAGGCCATGGCGAACTCTTGGGCTCCTCCTGACAGACAAAAATTTGTTTTGATAGGACTGGTGAAGTAGACATTTTAGTTGGTGTTAATAGGAGTAAGTTGTATATGTTGAACATGTATTTCCTTTTGAAAACTTTCCAATTATTTAGCCTTAAAATTAGTGAAACCATGCATCAGCTTGGCCACAATATTTTTATACATCCTTTGTTTGGTTTATAGATTTTAAACTGTTTTTATCTCATTTAAGCACCTGCTGTATATCAAAAAATCATTGTTAAATTGTGTTTAAATAAGCACATTGAGAGGCATTGTGTGAAAAATGCTATATAAATAAAGCTTTATTAATAAATATCGATTGATTGAAAGTTGTCTCACCAGTTTGGGGTAGAAGGAGGGGATCTGGAGGGAAGGCTCTTTGTCTCCAGGTGCTCAGATGAAAGTGACCGACGTAGGACTGGATTCCAAACCATGCCCCCCATAACGCGCTGACACACAGGACCACTGCTGATCAGAGAAGAATGTTTTGTTTACTCAATGCTATCACATTCTAAATACCCAATATTTTAATATCAAGATCGTGGGTTGGTAAGAATTTGCTTTTAAAGATGCATTTTGCAAATTTTCTGGTGAGAGATGCAGATATTATTGCATTGCCTGGAATGATAAACGTTATGGCATTAAACCTAAATCTATTTAAATCTATTTTCACAGAGACAAGCAGTAGAAGCCACCAGGCCAAATTACAGGACACAGAAGTCACTCCTGCTCACAGTAAGAATGCAGTTTATTGAAGGTATTTTTGAGCAATAGAAGCACCTAAAATTTATTAAATGCCGAAAACATTTAATGTCACATTCTGAAACATTCTAGGCAAAGCAAACATCTCCATGCTGGCAGCCCCCGCACCAGAAAAGTTGCACAGCTCACTTTTAATGATAAAAATCTTAATGTCAAGAAGTGACTGATCCAATCCACATTGAACAAAAACTGACATGTAAGCCACATTATGTCACTTTTTAGCCAAAATATAGACTAAAATGAAAGCTCGGTCCTCTTCCTACTTGTTTCCATGGAAATGTCTTTTCCATGGGCAACAGTAGCTCAGTTGGTGAGAGCGTTTGTCCACTCATCCAAACGTTGGTGTTTCTCAACATAAACATTGTTAGTTGAGGAGTCAGATCCACTGACCCACAGATGAGTGCTGTCATTGTGTCCTTGGGCAAGACAATTAACCCACCATGCCCTTCGTCTGTGTACACTGGTGTATGAGTGTGTGTGTGTGACTGGGTGAGTGGCTCCTGGTGGTTGTTGTAAAGCTCTTTGAGTGCCTTGAAGGCAGAAAAGCGCTATATAAAAATGTGACCATAATCATTTCCTTATCTTATCTAAAACCGAAAGATGGTTTTAACTTTCCATTTCCATGAAATCATGCAGGTGACGTGCCACCTCCAGAAAGCTACAGACTGTACCTTTAAGTTCAATGTCTCCTCTGTCTTACCTGTCGGTCTTGTTGTTCCCCAGGCCGAGGTGCTCTGTGATGAGTTTCTTGTAGGTCTGAATGGTGTTGCTGTGTTTGGGGCTCTTCACTGTGCGATTAGAGCTGAAGAAAGTGTGATGGTCCACACAGGATCTCCACAGGTTTTTACAGCTTTTGGGACAAGGAAGATCCAAAGACACCACGCAGTCCTGGGTCTCTCCCTGTGGAAAAGAAATTTAATGAAACTTACAGTGTTAAGAATGGTCATAGAACATTCCAGTCATTCTGTTAATTGCATTTTTCTTACATTGTGCAAATTGTGCATTAACAACACACACAATGAAAAGCATATAACTTATGTAAAACAAATAAAGCAAACTTAAATTAATAATAACTCACATGTTTGCGTTTAAGATGTATTAGGAATCGTTTTCTTTTAAAAGAAATCTTGATGATATTCCCCCTGTGTATAAAAACAAGTTACTCACACTATGGGACATGCTCCAATGGTCCAAACACTACAAACACTGTATTAACACTGTAGACACAGTCTTAACACTCACCAGGGGAAGAAACTGGAGCAAACTGTGTTACAGAAAATTGCCACTCCACTCGAGGCCAAACCCACCATCAGAGGGGCATTGTTAGAGTCCTGACAAACAAGAACAAGAACCCATCACCTACGTGTCAATCATTGTAAAAATTAATGTTTAACACACAAACCTTGCATACTTAGACTGAATTCTCTGTTTCACCTTGTGATGTCATGTGGCAAGTGCTCCATTGTGTTTTTAAACTCCATACACCTTCTCAAGAATCATGTGGATGATTTCAGCCTTGAAACTGACTGTCTCTATTTGAACTAAAGGTAAAAGAAGCCGATAACTTGAAAACTACCACTACATGACATCACAAGATGGAACAGAGCATTTTGAGCTTTCAAGATGTAGACAGAGTAATAATAAAGCATTACTCAAACATGTGTGAATGAAACAAAACAACCCCAGGTCATTTTTGGTGAGTAACAGTATTCTAACACGGCTTAAAGCTCAGAGGAGTACACTTTGTGTAATAAAGTACATGGCATTTTGAGCAAAAAATAATGATTTGATTTCATAGCAATTATTATAATAAACTGATTATTAGGATTAGTGAAATTATTCATGACCTCTTTATGTCAAAATCACAAATGTATATTGTGTATTTTTGTGCAATTTAGATTTAATATTGGTGATGTATTTGAAACAAAAAAGGTTTCTAGTATAGGGCTCGTCACAGGCAATTAGATTTGAAATTCAAGTTTTAAGTCAAATGTCTGTTCAGAGTGCACTTTTAGGAGCCTTCACATTTGAGAGAAGACTGAAAGATGAAATATAAAAATATTACAGTAATCGCATATGTATAATTTATAATATATTTGTGGAGTTGTAAACTACTATATACATACTAAGAAATGTTTGCAAACAATATGTGACCTAAACTGCTACCCATTGAGTCAGATTCCAATTTCATTTTGACTGCTATCAACCTACTGCTATTTCTCATTTACATATAAACAAACAAAAAGCATATTACACCTAGAAATAACTAGGCCTGATACAATAACCAATTTTGAAGCATGGTATACTGCTACAGAATATAAACAACAATACTGAAACTACTTTATGCCACTGACACGAAGCAGGAAAACGCAAATTTTAAACAGTCTCATTAAAATGTCTGAGCTGCAATACCAATTATATTCTACCATCTACAGCTAAACTCTTATTGTATCACATACAAAAATCACTAAAGTCTCCCCACTATTGCAAAGAAAAACTATCCATGATAAATACTGAGCTCCAAAATATATTGTTCCAGCTTTCATATAATAAACAATAAGACAATATAGAAATAACAACACAGCAAAAGTAGGATGACCAGATTTTTCAAAATAAAAAACTGGACACTGTTACTTTGGAGTGGGTGGTAATGATGAAATTGTGAAACAAGTGCGTAATTAAGGAAAAGTTTTCTGCACTGGGCCCATTCATACCTGACTCAGGACTAAAATGTGTCAGTATAGTCACATTTTCTTTATGTGTTGCTCATTTTTAAGCAGCTTCTCTGTATTTTGCCTTAACAAATAACAATTTATGCCTCTATTTAATGCTGGCAGGTATCAAATTAGTCAAAAATAGGGACACCAGGGACATTTCTTGTATAAAACTGGGACAAATCAGTGGTTTTGGATAAATCTGCTGGGACAGTGGACACAGGGCTCAAAACTGGGAGTGTCCTGGGTAAATAAGGAGCAAGCAAAGGCCCAAAATGACAAAATCATTTTCAACATTACCATTGCGGCATGTAGCTCAACTCCATACAGTTCAAGTGTTCGAGCTGTGTTCAGGAAACATAGTTCAGCTTCGCTCTGCTTCAGGCCCCTGGAAACACAAAGCACAAGAGGGAAGGTGATTCCTCAGTTTGAATCAATATGCTAGCAATTTCTTTTCTTGAAACTTGTATATTTTACTTTAAACGTGAGCCAAAAGTTCATAAAAACACAACATTTAACTGTGAATAAACGTGAGCAAACAGATGAGTAAAACAAACACTGAGGTTACTTTACTTTAGTGTAATATGTAATGTGTTTGTTGATTACGGCAGCTACTATTTTACATCACTTTATCTAAAATAAACATTATGAAACTCTCTTTGCAAACTCTATTTAGCTCAGATGAATAGTGAACTGAAAGGTTACAACTGAGATAACATTTTTGACAGTTTCTGGTGAGTAAAATAAAGAGAACACAGTCAAGCTAACGACAAGAGAAAATTGATGCAAATGACTCAAATTGGGGAAGGACAGACAGCAAGGTTGTTTTTGCTCAGGCTAACAGGCTAACATATAAACAAAAACATACTTGTGCTGTGGATGTAGGTCTTCCACTTTGGACAGGAAGTCTTCATCTTGTTCAGGGATAAAATGGCACTTTGAGAGGTAACCCGGGACAAGAGAGGGAGAGTGGTCACCAAGTTCAGCTGTGACAGAAACATGACAAAACTTAAAATAAAGACATGATAAATAAATGACAAGGGTCCATGTACCAGTCGTTCTTTTGAATTTCAATTAAGAATGAAGAACATTAAAATGGGAAAACAGTTTGTTATTTCATTATTCCATTTTAGTGTCCAAAAAAAAAAACCAAACAGTTTATCGACCTCTATTTCCAATATTTAATTTAAAGTTTTTTTCAAATAACACCAATCAAAAAACAGTCTCTTTGCCGATTTTACTTTTGATATTTTAATCTCTCTGGTTTATTTGGCCTGGAAGTTCTGCTGCTTAGAGCACCGTGTGTGACTTCAGTGAACTGAAGGAGAGTTTATCACTGCTACCTGTTTCACATCATGAAGTTTAACAATTACTTTCTAAGACGTGAAAGTAAACGCTTCACTATAAAAGAAGAGGACATGTCCACAAAACTGCAACCATTTTTCAGGTTAAGTCCTTCTAGGAGCAGAACTTCTGGGGCATATAAACCAGAGAGAATTAAAATATCAAATTTTAAATAGGCACTGAGACTGTTTTTTGATTGGTGTTATCTGAAATAAACTTTAAATGAAATATTGGAAACACAGGTTGAAATCTTTTTTTTTGTTTGACACCGAAATGAAATATTGAAATAACAAACTTTTCCCATTTTATTGCTTTTTTGTTCTTAATTGAAATTCAAAAGAACGAATCATACACGGACCGACAAGGGTGCAGCAATGTTATATTTAATACATTTTGTGTTTATTTTGCAGTTTCATCCGAAGTGGCCACAGTTTTAAAAAAGAAACTGTCTTTTTTATTGTCAGTCTCCCCTATGACAGTGAATATACGTACAAAAAATATACTTTAAAAACACAGTTGCTTCTAAGCACTAACAGCAGCTGTGTTGAGAGTCTTGACTTACACTGAACATCATAAGAGGCCAGTACCACAGCAGCATTTAATGGGCACTTCAACCTGCAATCAGACTGTGTCATTACACTTCACAAAGGATGCAGAGAAAAGTAGATAATACTAGATAATAGAGATATAACTGGAATTTATTTCATATATTTCAGTATCTAAATTATGTATATAAAAAAACAGAAGCAAAGCATTAACAGCATAAGAAATTGTTCGAGTGTTGTTAATGTGCAGTCATTAAACATTCTTTAAAACACTAATTAAATATATAGTTCATTTCTCCTATGTTGGTGCAATAGTGTAAGAACTATGCTATAATTTTCACCAAAATGTCATGCTGTGATATTATATAGGGATTTTTTGAAAACACAAAATCACTACAATTACCAGCACATATTTTTACAAAATACATACATTTCATTTGTCAAATTTAAAAGGATTAATGAAGTATTAAAGGGCCCATATTTTAAATTTTTTTATCTATGTTATGATGTTGTTTCCTCATCACAAACATAACTGGAGTCATGTTTTGTTTCATTCACGCTTTTAACACAAAACCCTGCATATTTAGGCTGAGTTCTTCTCTCAAACAGAAAACACTCCATACACCTTCACTAAAATCATTTATTATTTATTTATTATTTATTAGTATTTTGAGCTTTGGAGATGTAGACAAGACTGGCTGAACCAAAATGGAGCAAAGGATTGTGGTCTATGTAACATTAACAAATCAATACATTTTGTGCTCAGGAACGTTCATTTGAATATGTTGTAAAAACAGTCTACCAGTAAGTACGTCACCTCATATTTTTAGCACTAACTGTTACATGCCTGTTAAAAACACTGACCTTCCTTCTCTGATGTCACTTCTGATTTGGAGGAAGTACAAGTGCCTGTAGGAATGACAAAAGAGGAAGATTATGACTCATAACAAACCAAAGACATGAATATTTCACCTTTAGTTTACAGCCCATGTGATGATGACACTATGACAATAAGGGTTCTGATGTAGACTTTGTTTGGGCTTGTTCTAGTCCTGGTTTAGTCCTGGTCTAGTTCTGGCTTTAGTTCCAGACCTATTTAGTCCTAATCTCACTGTATAATGAACAGAGGAACCTAATACACCTATACTTCTTCCCCTGGGCTCAATTATACACCAATTTAGTGACATCACATAAGACCTTTTTGCAGATGATATTCAACTTTACTGCTCCTTTAAGACTTCGGAAACGCATGAACTGACATTACTCATCTGTCTTTCACATGTTAAACAGTGGCTATTATCAGTCTTCAGTTGAACCCAGACAAAACCAAGACTCTTATTATTGCTCCAGAAAGCACTATCCCCAATATTAAACTGGAAAATTCAACTAAAAACAATTTAAGAAATCCAGGAGTATTTTTTGATGATGTGACGTCTTAAGAACACCACAAACTGCTTTTTCCAGCTATGAAACATATCTAAACTTTGCACAATGATTACTAAAGCTGAGATAGAGATGGTAATCCATGCATTTGTGTCCTAGAGACTAGACTATTGTAACAGTCTGTTTACCTGTCTGAGCAAGAAGAAACTTACCCAGCTGCAGACGGTCCAAAACTCTGCTTCTGACCCTCACCAGTAGAAGAGCGCATATCACTCCGATCTTAAAATCCTTACATTGGCTCAATGTTCTTTTTCGTGTCCACTTTAAGATCCTGGTGCTTAGCTGTACATGGCCAGGCTCCTGCTTACATCACAGACCTGATAAAGCCAGACACCTCTGCCCGTAGTCTGAGGTCTACCCGCCAAAATCTGCTAATGATCCCTCAGACAAGTTTTAAAACACGAGGCAACAGATCCTTTCATCCCTCTCCCTTAAACTCTGGAATGAACTGCCTCCTTGCCTACACTCCCTAGACAGTAGATCCCTTTAAAAAGCAACTCAAAACATCTCTTTGAACAAGCATTCCCACCCCCTCAGCTTTAGAGCTGCTATGACTGATTTTATTTTATTATGAATGTATCTTCTGCTGTTTTTATCTTTTGTATGTGAAGCACTTTGTGACTTATGTCTGTGAAAAGCGCTATATAAATAAACTTTACTTACTTACTTACACTGAAAATGGTGAGCGTGAGAAAATGACACAGGGAAAATGTAAGGGATGAAGCAATGACTGAGCAATGGGACAATTTTTGTTTGTCTAAGGATTCAACTGTCTAAATGTTTATGTTAATTCCTTTAATGTTATTATTTTATGTTTTGTTTGGTCTTGGTTTTATATGAAAAAAAGTCTAATTAAGATACGAATTATAAGCAATAAAATAACATTGTGTCACCTTGTCTGTTCATGCTGCAGAGAGTTTGGGTCTGAGATGAAGAATCGCACTCTGAAGTTTAAATAAAACGGTAATTGAAGACCTGCAAATTACACACAAAAATGAGTCAAATCTTAAAACAGAAAACAGAAAATATACAAGTGTGCACATAACAGATTTGTAATTTATTAACTTCCAGATTGCATTTCAAACCTCATACACTACACTTAAATGTTCCACAGTGCGGCATTAAACTAATTTCATGGAGACAAACAGGTACAGGTATAAGAATTTGTGCATAATGTGAAATGAATTATGTTAATTTAAGATGTAAGAAATCTGGTAGTTTGAAGAGTTCACAATTCACTGTGCGATTAGTCAAATCCACCTGTCAATCATTCAGAGCTTGACAGAGGCTGACCAATGGAAAGGGAGGGTGGGGAAAAGTGGAAGATGTGTTTAAGCATAAAGAATTAATTTCAGACTATCCTTTTGTGCAGCCTACATACAGTAATTGGTCAGAAATAAAGCATTTTTGATAATTATGTACAGACCGTTGAATTGTTACTGTTATGTGTGCATGCATGGACAGTCTATATGGAAAGTGACCAACCTTTGATCTGTTTCTTCAAAGGCTTCTCGGGCTCTATCCACCTCTGAGAAAGAAAACGTGTAATGAATGAATAATCATGAGAACAAGTGAATGTAGAGTTTAACATTATCCCAGCCAACAGAGGGCAGCTATTACCTTGCACTGTATTTCTATTAAAGAAGACATATCGTGCTTTTGTCTGCTATTGAGTTAATCTATGACACCAATGGATCATTATGCTGATGGAAAATTGGAAAATTGCAGTGCTCCGATTCCCGTCCCGTTAATATAAGACATCACAAACGTCATCACAACAGAGCTGCTCTGCCAGACCATGCTGTGGCCTCTCCCTTGGGTAGTTACAGATCACGCAAGCAAGCAGCAGATTTTTTTTAAAAATTTGTGCCAAAATGGCTATGTGACGCTGCCGAATCCAACATGTATCACCCATTAAATAAATAAAATTAGTCAGAGCTGTGGGTGTGTGTCAGTGCCGGTGAAAACGGGGGTTGATCGAAGAAATGACGTCTTAAATAAAGGAGTATAAAATGACTCAAACAAGCAGGAATCGCTCAAAATTCAACTTTGAGTGGGTAACTGAGAATGGAAACAATTCTAATATGGTTAAAGGCTCTGAATTTTGCACAATATGTCTCCTTTAAAAGTGACAAGCAGTTCAAATACATGTTTCAGCTCCCTTGAAAAATACATACTCTGTGATTTATGACTGTGGTGAATTGAACACAACTGGAGATTGTACTTTCTTACAATAGTTCTTTTATATGGACATGTGGTCTTATATCTGTGTAATCCTTCAGTCGTCCAGGAATGTTTCATAGTTGTTCATGGGTGTATACTAGGGATGTAACAATATCCAAATCTCATGGTATGATATTATCACAATATGCATCTCACGGTACAATGATTATTGCAATATTTTGAAGATGCTGAATTGTAGATGGGACATTTTTTTTGTTTTAAAATACCTTGAAAAGACTTTGGTGTGAATTATTACCATCATAATCTCAAGAATTCAAGTAAAAACATATCTCTTTATGCTGTCTGCACTGAAATGAATCATGGGATATGTAGTCCCCTATGTTCATAAGTTGTTGCTGCTCTAAAACCATGCATTTAAGCAGATGAACTTGTGATTTGATATACTGTGACAGCCCACAGTATTATTGTGAGACTTTTGACGATACGATATCACAATATTTCAGTTATTGTTACATCCCTAGTGTATACTATTCCATGTCATCCTATACTTGCTCTGATACAGCTCAAGATCATTCTAAATCTAGTCAGGAAATGTTAATTTCTGTCCTGTGAATGTGACTTTCTTAGTATCGATATTTGCTCAAATGAGTATCTCGTTTCTATAGATTTAGAAGCGATTAATATCGGTCAGTATCTGATTTTTGATATTTTTGACCACCCTATTCTGTTTACTGTGATCAAAATCAATTTTAGTATCATGATCACAGTTTTTCACTAAGAGCAGTCAGTTATTACACTACATTTATTTGATATGGCTGAGAGCTGACCGGGGACGGAGCAGTGGCCGTGATGGAGTTGGTCTCTCTGATCTGCAGACTGAAGAGCTGCTTCTCCTCCAGGCTCAGATGGTCACACACCTGGTCCAACAGAACCGCTCCTTCATCCTGCTTCTGAAGAGACACAACAAAAACAACAATATCATCCTCAGCCAAAACGGTGGCATTGAACAGAAGATTATTTAAACACACTGTTATAATGACAACAGTGAGATAGTGCTACTTAAAAGCACTGTACCCGATTTTACTCTCTCAAAAACACGAAAAACAGAACTAGTTACTTTAAACAGTTGGCAGTGGTTCAAATTTATATCTCACTTTCCTAACACATCCAAGAGCAGGGGTGGGCAATTATTTTTTCCATGGGGCCACATGAGAAACACACAATATTGTGAAGGGCCCTGCCAAAATGCTGAACTCAATTCTGCATAATATTAATTGTATTTCTTTATAAAAAGGAGTAAATAGCATTGTTTTGACAAACTGATAAGATTGGTATGAGCATGTTATGACTAAGCAATGAAAAAATGAGGTTGCCTTACAAAAAATGTCATAAAAAACACCTATAAAATAAAAGCAATGCAGCATTAGTCCATGCGTGAGGTAAAATTATAAAATATGTAAATAAATAAAATAACCCTAACCCTAACAATAACCACGCAAACAGTGCAATAAGCGAAAAAACATATTCAAATGAAATATTGCTTTTACTCTTAACATTGTATTGTTATGTTGATTCATTGCAATTTGTGTTTTGGTTCTCAAGCTGATATGACATCCTGAATATACAACAGCTAATGGCATCCAAGCAGGTTCAGTTGTGTTTGTGTTGTTGATTTAAACCAGTAGGAGCATGTTTTACAGCTACTACTTTTAACAACACTGAGAACTTTATTTTTCAAAATGCTGAAACCACAATCTATAGATAAAGATCATGGTGTATTGTAACTACCAGTATTTAGCCTGATCATCATTCACTAACTTCACAGGAGAATGTTTTTACTGTAAACTCTGCTAATATTTATAGTGACAAAACAGGAAGGGACTAGAGGTGAGAAATGTACTGTCTACAATACATTACATCACTTCAGAATAATGAGTGATGTGTGTTATATGCTTTTTTTCTGGTTAATTTTACAACCTCATCCTTAGGTCGAGGATTTAAAGCCGGAACAAAGAGAATGTTTGGTGAATTTCCTCAAGGGGAAAGACGTTATTGCCTTCCTACGGGATTTGAGAAAAGCTTAACATACCAGTTAGCCCGTTTAGCGGCGCATTACATAGGTCACGACCAAATAGCAGCGATTGGTTAAATTTAAAAAAGTACCCGCCTACTGTTGAGCGAACGAATCCTAATGCTGCAAGGTCAAACGGTTTCCACGAAGTGAAACTGGCTGATGAATCAGGCTAAGGGTTGAGTAGGCCGTATAACAGAACTGTATGACCCTGATGACACAAATGATATTCTTTAAAAACTGCCATGCACAAAAATAAACAACAACAAACAAAAAGCAGGAAAAAAAAAATCGGTCGTCCAATGTTCTTTGAAAACCCGGCACTCTCTGTCAAGTTTTTGTACTTTAACACAAGCCATTTTGCTGTCCTTAACTGCACTACAGAACTCTGTGCATGTGTTGACTGTCACTGTTTGATCTCGAGCTTGTCAGGTGATAAAAATTCAGCAGCAAATGTAAATATGTCATATAATTATTTATTGAGGGTTGCCTCATAGGGCCAGTTCAAGTGGTGGGGGGGCAGAGGGGCAGGGGGGCCGGAGTCTTAGTTTGATGACCCCTGCTCTAGCATAAAGTTATATAGTGCACCTTTAAATATAGGTCTATATAAACTGTGAGACAAAACTGTATTAATTAAACAGCTAAAGAGCAATAGCGCTGACGAAGCTATAAAATGTAGAATGATTTATAACCAGGTTTAAGTTGCCCCGTATAAAAATGCTAGACAATGGATTTTTCCAATATGCCTCTCCACTGCTATAAGACTTAATTTAAGTTGTAAAGAAGAACCCAGAGTAAAAATGCTTGTGTCCTTGGGCAGAGGGCAGAGAATTAATCAGAAGATGTGGATCAATGAAAAAAGGAAAAAATAGAGTGTCACTATATCATGGCTTGACACTAAGATCATTAGAGCAGCGCTGGGCCGATAGAAGCAACATACGATCCCCCGTGACAGACAGGAAGTGTGTGTCTGCGCTGTGTATGTTTAAATACAGAAATACAGGGTGAATATTCTGGCCAACAAGTACATGCATATTTGGGGCTATACATGTATCCAACTGGGTTTAACATTTCCACGAGCCAATTGCCGTGTTTCAGATGATATCACAACATCCTATAAGACAATATAATTCAATACAGATAGGGGAATACAGAGTTTTGTTGTTTTACAAGAAGTTAATATCAGGTTCAACATTTGTGAATTGAGCTTTTTGATATTTCATGGCAAAGTGCAATGTTATCAACAGGGAAATCTGTCTCTTTCCTCCTATCTGAGATTAAGACATCATCACCAGAAGAAGACTATCTCTATAGACAATTAAATAACACACCCTTTTTTTTTTTTTTTTTTAAAGTAGACCTACCATAACCTCACAGCTTCAAACCAAGTGTGTATGCTACTACAAATAAACTACACATCTCATCTACTGTAGCTGTTGCTAATAAAAAACCCATGTAATTTCTGAGATGGACGAACCACAGTGTTGATGTGTGAGTTTATTTATATTAATACGTACGCTGAGTCTGAAGGGTTGAATGTTGCCGTCCAGCAGCTGAACCAAACAGAGCAGGTCCGGTTTGGGCATCTCGGTCCCTCGGTCACTGAGAGAGGACCTGCAAAACACAGCACTAAACATCACACAACATACAAACATACAACTTTATTCATCTGATAGTGGACAAAAGCGTTTGCCATGGCAGTAGAGCTGTATTTGACTGAAGAAAATTTACTAAAAATATGCCCCTACTGATCACGTCGTTGACTAAAAGAAGGCAAGGCAAGATTCCTTAAACTATTAAATATCTCTATAATCTGACCATGTATCTCAGTGTTTCCCGATTTTTTTTTCTGGGGACCCATATTTTAAAAGTCACAAACTGTTGCAACCCAAGTCAATAGACATTAATCGTAAATCATAAAATAAAGGTGGATTTAAACATTATTGAACATTAATGAGGATATTTTATTGTTGACTGAGTGACTGTGTCTCTCTGAACGATTAGTATTACTCAAGTTTTAAAGACTGAAAAACAGTAATTGAATCAGCAATAAAAGGATCCATAAGTCGCCTATTTGGACATAAATGTAGCCCTTTTCTTTTTCTTTTCATTCCATTGAACCAGCAATATAGGAACAAAATAATGAATAACATAATTACTGGTACAAAAAGATTAGAAATGATACAAAACATGTCTTAACATTTCCACATTTCTAATGAGATAGGTGGGCTTGTCTGCGCTTTTGTAGCGTGTTCCAGTCCCGGGTGCAGGAGGAGAGCACAACACGCAGATCAAGCATAAAGGCAGAACTGTAGATTGCAGACTTACAAGCAGATCGTGACAAGGCAACCCAAAAAAAAAATCTCTTGTGATCCACTTGAGGGTCACGATCCAGTTTTTGGGAAACAATGATGCATCTGACCCAAACTGCGCTCACAAGGGGTTCATGCACAAACAACAATTTAAGCAGACATGTCCTAATAGGAAACTGTATTAAACTGTATAAAAAAAAATGCATATTAAACTTACAAATCTTCAGCTAACTCATTACATACCTTGCACTTGTTGCAGTCGTCCCATATAAATCCCTAAATTCTAAATAAAATCATTAGTGAACTAATAAAAAAGCTGTTTGACTAAGACACCATCAATTAATCAACTAAATGACTATAATTATAATCCTACATGGCAGCTCTTAATATACAGTAAACTGCAGATAGTAAGAAAAAGCATGTATGGAGTAAAACTACAGATGAGCACAGGAAGAAATATTTACAAATGGCAACATATATTCTATAAGACAATATTGAAATTGTTTTGAAGATAGGCAAAACGTGGCAGCACAGTGGCAGAGCAACACGCAGAAAGCAGGTTCTGGTTCCTCCCCATGCACTCCAGATTCCCCCATCAACCCAAAACATGCATCAGAGCTAAAATCCCGCAGCTAAGGTGGTCCTGACCAAACCTAGCTCAAAATCTGGAGATGGGTGTCCTGGGTGTTGTACGGCATAAACCTTAACCTTTGTGAGAATATTGAGTACTTATCTGTAAAGAAATTAACAGGAAGCAAAAGAACATAGAAGGTGGTATTTCTGGACTTATGTGGTATTTTTGAGTTTAAAAAAATCAGACTTCCACTTTTGTTAGTATCACCCGAGCCTTATAATAATGTAAATGATCAAAAAACATGCCATAACAGTAGAGAGACTTACTGTATACTTATTTGCACCACCGTAGTGATAATCAAAACAATGTCAGATGTTTTGAGGCTGTTGTCAATGAGCTCCTCCCTTCAGATGTCACTGCGAAATGACTAACAAACCGAATTCAGCTGGGGCAGAGCTGCAGAGGCCACAGTGAGTAATGTACCATGAATGCAAGGAGGGACCGTGGCTGTGTTTGTGTAATTCTTGATGACTTGGCCTGGGTCTGAACATGCCCCTCTCCTCCTGTATCTCTCCGCCTTTAGCAGACAGCTGAATGAGAAGAATGTTAAACACTTTCATAAATGGACACACCCACCTCCAGATCTCAGCCAATCCCAGACGAGCATTGGAAGAAGGCTGTGTATACAAACCAACAAACTAGGGTTATGTGGTTTGGGAAAAAAGTTGTAGTCAATTTTTTGCAATTTTTCTCACAAGAATTAAGACTGAGATTCAGAGTGCACGTTGCAAAAAAGCATTAACAACCCTGTACCTGATTCTTCTCTTGCCTCAGGACAGATATATTGTGTATACGCAACTTCTGAGGTCAAAATATGTCTGCCAAGTAGGGATGTAACAATAACCAAAATATCGTGATATCATATTGTCTCAGAATAATATCATGGGCTGTCACAATATATCGAATTACAAGTTTGTTTGCTTAAATGCATGGTTTTATAGCAGCAACAGCTTATAAACATAGGGAACTACATATCCCATGATTCATTTCAGTGCAGACAACATGAAGATATATGTTTTTGACTTGAATTCTTGGGATTATGACGGTAATAATTCACACCAAAATCTCGTTGAGGTATTTTAAAAGCAGAAACATGTCCTGTCTATAATTATATCAGCCTCGCCAAAATATCGCAATAAATATCGTACCATGAGCCGCATATTGTGATAATATCGTACCGAGAGATTTGGATATCATTACATTCCTACTGCTAAGTGCTGTCTGCGTTTAATTATACAGTATTTTACATCCAATAATCAGGAAGTGCATGTCAAGGCAAAACTCTGCACTGGTCTCTCCACACTGAGGTTGTGAAAAGTGCTTGTAAGCTCATTGCAGTGAATAATTAGTGGAGGAATGCACTGTTCCAGCTTTTTCAGTTCCGATACAAATTCCTATATTTAGCTTTAAGTATGTTCTGATACCCGATATCAATACCAGAGCAGAGACTGAAAACTGCATTTATTTCCTTTAAAGCACACATATAAAAGACAAACCCTAGAGACAAAACTGATCCAGATGTGATCCAAAACTGATACAAATGTGTTATGGAGCTGTTATTTATCCCCAACTTTGTAAATAAAAGTTTAAAAATTTAGACTTTCTGGGCCAACTATACGACCAGAAAATAATCTTATTACGTACATTTTTAGGCCCAACCAGAATTAACTAATATTTACGAACCACTATCTGATCTAACATATTTTTCAGTATTGTCTTCTGGTACCAGTATTGGAATAATGCATCCGTAATAATTTGCATGTTCAGAATGCATAAGATAAGTGAGGAATAACTTTTTGTTTTAAATGAACTAGTTCTGTTTTTCACGGTTATAGGATAGTAAAATTTAGGTACATATGAGAGAAGAGAAGCCTGAAATGTGAACTGATAAACTAATAAAAGAATAATATTTTTTGGAAAATGTGTGTAGAGGTCCAAACTACAGGTACAGCATTTTTCTGTAACGTGCCAGGACATTTTGTTCTCAGCAGGAGACATTCTATTGCTTAAATAATAGTTGTCTGTTTGTGATTTGATAATTGCGTCAGCGCAAGGTAAAACTTTGATTGCGATATATTGTGCAGCCCTACAACAGACAGACTAATGCACGTGGGTGGATTTCAGTAGAAGAGACAACACTGAACAGACACCAAATAGGTTGGGTCCATGTGACATCATAACACAAACGTTTATTATTAAGAAGAAGGGCAGGTCAGAAGTCTGAGATAGAAGTTGCCTTTTAACTGTCAAAATGAAGATGTTTTGTTTGATATATGGTTTATATCTCTGTAATTACTGGAACCAGCCAACTCCTTCTCTTGTCTGCAAAACTTAGTTGTAAATGTTTTATTTTAAAGCGTTGCCTATCATGGCCAAATTCACCAGAACACTTGTTATCAGTTGCAAGGCCTTTAGACCACAAGATTAACAAGGCAAATTAGTGGATCCACTTCCTAACAAAAAGCAATATTTTTGAACATTTGTGCATTTTCCGTTTGGTTATTTCTTTCAAAAACATACAAAAGTAGCTTTGTTCCATCAGTTGCTAGTGCTATGTCAACAAGTGATTATATTTGCATTAGTACTGATCCTAGTGATTACAAGTCTTGTCTTAATGGGATTCTCTTGACCTGAGCACTGTGCACTGTACTACTTTATTCAGATGCAGATGCAAATTTCTGAATGCAAACAAAATTTACCTATTGGCAGAAATACAGTAACCCTGAACATTTGAAAATAGTTAGTCATAGATAGAGTTACAAAGCCCTCAGTCCTCCATTGTACAATCTAAAAACTTAGAATCACTGATGATAAATTATGATACATGAGGATATATATATTTTGAAGTTCTTGAACTGTGCACTGCAACACAGGA